CGTCAGTTATAGACTAACGGACTCGATGAAGGCTATTTGTTTATCTGAACTAAATTATCATTTAAGAAAGAGTGCGAGGATAGTTTCAATATCTGCGCCATCAGGTATAAGATATTAAGCTACAGGCTAATGCAGACGGCAGTCTAATTAGACAACGTATCTTTGTTCGATTGACTACTCAGATTGATTAAGAACCAGCCACGTAATTTTAATAAAGTGAATCAAACAGGGTTTTTCAAACTTTACTTCCTTGTGCAGATATCATGTGTGGAATTGACGGATATTAGAAATTGAAAGGAACTTGCAATGAGTATCACCTGACACAGCTGGCAGCGGTGACTAGCGCGTGTTGAATTCTGTATGGTTTATGGACGCAAAAACACTGCATTTAAAACTTCAAGGCAGGCTGCTACCATGCACTGTAACATTTCAAACACTTTGTTTGAATACATATAGATTTTCAGGTAACATGGTCTTTCTTTGTCTTGTTTATCGACACGTGTGTGGAAAGAAGCTTCCGCTTATCGAATCCTGTTCACCATTAACTTTGATGCCATCCATTCACAGTGCTGCACTGCATAGCATTTACCGTTTGTATAAGTATCAGTTTCTCTATGAATCATTCGACTGACCATTCGTGGGTCCTCGGATGAGCTCGATATCACCACGCTCTTTTCATATCTTTCATATCCAATCGACGAAATGTCGATTCATTAGTAACATGCGTTTAAAACCGAAACATTAACAGAAAAGCATAATACTGGTAACTCTGCTCTGTATCTTGGCTTGTTAAAAAACGGAAATGTATACAACACCATGGCATATCATGGGAGAAAACGAAAGAATACACTGATTAAAAAATTTTAAAAGTCACAAATTAAAAAAATTCTTGGTAAATCAACCATAAACATGTATTAATAAACACCTTGGTGTCAATAACAACTAAGTTCGCATTGGAATAATTACGAAACAACTTATACTATCAAGTTTATAAACTACCAGTGACATTTCTATCAGGTTGTACTGGTTTATGCTATATACTGTTCTGTTTTATGTCTCCCGCGAATGACCGATGGAGCAAGATCAGAAACGTTGGATAATATGTATAAAAATTGTATAAGGTATCAACTCGTAAAGGACTGCTTGTATTTATTAATATATAGCATAAGTAACCTGATAAGTTGATGCACAAGAAGAAAAGCACCTAGAAGCTATAAGAACAGGAATAGGCATCAGTGACGTAAAAGTGCTAGCTATGTCAATATGTACCAATTACCGTTGATTTTAAGTAACTAAAGTTTGATCACGTGTTTACAAAATCAAAACCTGAAAAACTAAACCACAACGGCTAGTTTTACTTCAGCCTATTAGAATTTAAAAAACATCAGCAATTATTTCAGCGGTATAAACCGAGAAGAATGCGTCGCTCCAATACCAGGTCGCCCATGTTTTACTGGTTTGTACGTAATCGAAAACTCGCCGAGGTAATGACCAATCATTTCTGGCTAAAAAAACCACATTCAATAAGAGTAAAGTATAAGGCCTGAAATAATAAACAAACTTTACAAATTATATGTTAAACAGATTATTCAAAAAACATTATAGATGCATAAATGATCATTGTTTCGATTAGCTACTTGTTCCTCATTGTTGGTTGCCCATTCAGGCATCCGCATAAATTTTGGAGGGATACTGCACAAACAAATGCAATCTATGGTTTCAAATATTAACTTTCAGTTGGTAGTGTATTACTTTCTTAGTCTTAACCTAGTGCGACCCACGATTCTGAAGTTTTTCACGATTCAGGGCCTGAAGAATAATTTCCCATTATGAAATCTTTCGGCTTACTGATCAGAGTTGAAATTGCATCAAAATTCAAAAAAAATCCATTTTACCATCTACCTTTCCTAACTGTGACCATCTTCATGGTCACAATAAGAGAAGACTGACAGAAAAAGGTCAAATTTAATTAACTATCATACTAGCTTACTGTAATGATAATGCTTTTAGGCACTGTCCCGTGAAAGCGTTATGTTCAACGCCTTTAAAAGACACTAAATTTTCAAGAAGAGACCATATCTGGACTGCTAACTGACTAACTTATTTAGTCTTCCAACCGAACTGAATACATTGACAATAACGATTCACGAATGGTAGAGGAAAAAACGTTACATATGAGATGTCATCTAGTAGAGAAAGGCATCCAGTTAAGACATAAGATCCTTTTAATTTTTCTGCACGTCGCATAAAGCACAACTCAAGTCAATCACCCGATATCTTCCATTTTTTATGCGATATTTGCAAATATAGATATTATTCCCAAAACTGAGACGGTGACAGCTGTGGCTGGCTCAAGCAGCTCTAATGAGGTTCCTTATTGCAGCTTTCAATGCCACACGATAAGACGTCAGGTCCATCACCAGTGAAAACAATAGGCCTTCCACATCGTAATCCTTATACTGTAGGGCATCACTGTGTCCACCAACTCTTGAGTGACACCAGAAAGACACAGATTTATTGACAACAATGTATCAGAGAGCTGTTCGACATCCCATTCAAGGGCAAAGAATACATGGTACCAATGACCGAACGTTTCACGCTCCCTGGTATCGAGTCAGAATGCACCTTCCTGAATTCCAGAAGTAAACGCTAAACAGTCGATTAGCCTATCGTTCCAACTGTGTACAGATACGACGGCAATACGGCGCGCATTTGTTGCGCCATTTCGACTCGTTTCGGTACCCTCTGCGACCATGTATCGATCACATTTCTTCTGATTAATGGCTCGTTTGGGGATGTTCGAAGCTAAAGAATGCAACTGCACCAGTTCAGGCGCCGAATTTGCTATCCCTCACTAGTCAGTGACGTAAGGCATCAAAGAGTCGTGAGTCAAGGTGCACTCGTTACATGCCACGGAAGCAACGCGACGACGGGGCGATACCACGCTGAGCGAAAAACTCTCTCATTGCTTATTTTCATCAAATTACTTTCGTAATGTTTTCATTCTACTGTCATTGGCCTTCCCGCATTCCTGCGCAAATACGTAAGCGATCTAAGTGATCGTGACACGCTACCTGCATTCCTTTACCATTAGCAAACCGTCAGGCTTATTGCGTTAAGGCCTGTAGGAGAACGAAATATTTTAGACGAAACACTGCTCGCATGCTACGTTTGAAAATGACAGTAGTTTAATGATCTCGCTGTATTACTGAATCAGTGCCTGAGACATTTTATAATATATTTAAAGTGACATGAAATAAATTCATTATGAAAAATGAATATTTGAAATTTAAGCTTGATTTAATTACAAAACATTAAAAGACACCATGATAATCGGGCAAACGAATCTGACACGAAAATGTTGATATGAATATGATACCTTGATTTCGACCTGATTGAATTGGATGCCGTTGTAAATCCCAACGACGCTGCCGACCATCTCCGGAATAATCAGCATGTCCCTCAAATGAGTCTTAATAAGGGCAGGCTTCTCAAGCATCGGTGCCTCCTTCTTCGCCTTCCTCAAACGTTTCAGAAAAGCGATGTATTTACGCTTCAGTCCCCTGGACAATCGCCGTCTTGCCCTAGCGCCGACGAGTTTCATGAACTGTTCACTAAAAGAAATTAACCAAATGAAGCATCAAGGAAAACAAGACAGAATTTAACAAGTGAAATGCACGAACAGTGTGAAGAATTGAACCATCCGTCGCTACACATTTCGTCACTTTTCATAACACAACAGGCGCTCCCCTAACAGTGGGAAAGTTTAGCATAAGGACACTACAGTCTATCAGATTTGAAGAAACAGGAATACCGAATATCTCAAGGTGGACAGAAAAGAACCTAGCAGTACAGCAATAACTGCAATAAAATAATACAATACAATAATTCGAAAATTAGGGTCCAAAAAGTTTTGCAATACGAAACGATTGGCCGAGAGCAAGAAAACTGAGACAATTACTCATCAAAAGGCATTTAAAGAAAGATATTAACAATACCAATCTTCCCTTTATGAAATTGAAAAGTTTAAAAGAGACCGATATCTGAACTGTTATGAATTCCTACATCTCATTACTTTTCCGTTTAATAAAGTCGTTCCCTAAAATTTATCAATTCATCTATCAAACATGCAATACCCAATGAACCGAGTTTATGGCATTAAGGATACAACTGCATTTTTAAACAAAGCCGTTGATTCAATATAGAAAACAATTCTAGATTAGATTATACATTCTGCATATTCACAAAACAATTAGGACTTACTTGTTCATGTCCAGCAACTGATCCAGGTCCACACCTCTGTAGGTAAACTTCCTGAAGGTCCTCTTTTTTTTAACTTCAACTGTTGATTTATCAGCCTAAAATGAAAGAAATTATTAAAAAATAACCAAATACAGACACGATTAAGAATGAAAGAGGTGTTGCTTGATTGACTCCAGAGATCACAAAAAATTACAAGGCAATCGGTGTTAAAAGAACCGTTCAGCACCAGCATTCGTTTTAAATGCAAATAAAAAGGTAATAAACAGCATACAAGCTGTTGAAATGGGCTTTCTTAGACGAGTCGCTGGCCTTACGCGTCTCGACATGGTCCGGAATATACATCCGGAAGAGCCTTGGAATACAGCCTTTGCTTCTCCAGATTGAGAAGTCACAGCTGCGATGGCTTGGATGTGTTGCGAACGCCTCCAGAAAGGAAGGCTAAGCAACTGTTCCTTGCAGATCCGACCGGCAAAAGGTGCAGGGGACGGTCAAGATTAACCTGGTGCAAACATATGGAAGGAGTCTGTTA